CTCCAGTTTGAAAGTTATGGTTCCGTCACTGCTGATGAAACTCCGCTTATTTTCCCTGAGGTTGAGGCTCAACATTTTGAGCTTACTTCGAGAATGATTTGATTGTTGCAAGCTCCTTGTCCATGGTATGGCTTATCGAGTAAAGACCTCAATGAGCATAACAGGACTTTCCTTCGACTTTGTTCAACATTCGAAATTCAAGGTTTAACAGATGACGATGTGAGATTCTGATTTTTCTATTCTCTTTGCAAGACAAGGCTCAAGCATGGTTTAACACATTGCCATCGAATTGCATCACAACTTAGAATCGGTTCCGTCCATCTTTTTTGACAAAATTCTTTCCACCCAGAACTTTATAGAAATGAGATCATAACATTTCAACAGTTGGCAATGAGTCATTGCATGAGGCATGGGATTGTTTTAAGGAATTGTTGAGGAAGTCTACACAATATGGAATTGAGGAGTATATATAGCTAGGTATTTTTTATATTACTGGTTTTTGACACTACAAAAAAATAGGTGAGTATCCACAGACCAAAGTCGTGGGTAATATGCATGTGAGGCCGTGGATAAGTCAATTATCCACGACTTCTCTCACGGCAAAATCGACGTGAGGAATATGTCCATGGGGATTTCTCTCCCACGGAAGTCAACTTTTTCTGGGTAATACACCCACAACAACAATGTGGGAGAGTTCGTGGGAGATTCGATTCTTCATTTTCACAATTCAAGAAAAATCACCCACGGATTCCGCATGTAAAATAAAAGTCTTTTTTATTCCAATTTATAATATTACCGACGACCGTCGTGGGTAAAATGAAATTAATTTTTTCTAATGATCTTTTACCCACGGAAACTTTGTGGGTAAATTACTAAATTGGCGAAAAATTTACCCACGGCTTATGTCGTGGGTAATTGTTAAATAATAAGCAGGCACAATTATTTATATTTCAGCCCCTACTTTTTGTATTATACCAAATCCAAACCAAAAAATTTAATGCTAAATGTAAAATATCAATCTAACCAATAGACAAATTATCCAAAATAACATTTTAGTCCAATACAATGCAATTCAACAACCGTACTACATATTGTCAAACCAGAAATGTGGCCTCTTGCTGCTAGTACCATAGATAAGTGTAAGTTCCAAGTACCTAAATCAAAGACATGTCAACGTATTGAAGTACTTCTTCCCTTTCCAAACTATTACATTCATTTAAATGATCTGGAGGCCTCATTAGAGTTTGAAACTTGACAGAGCATGGATTTTCCCAGCTTTCTCCTTGGAGCTGCAAGTGCTTTCTTCCTATTTTTGAATGATCGCTGTAAGTTCAAAATTTTAATCATATTCAGATTCAAAAGGAAGTCATTGTAAAGCAAAGTATTGATGAATATAAAGAGTTAAGACACAAGTACCATGATTTAATGGTACTGGACATTCAAGTATAAACACAGAAAGCTGGAAATTCAAGTATCGAAACGGACTTCGTTTACAGTTATCAATTTAAATGCAACCTATTACACAAATTAAAAATCCATGCCGAATCAACAGAACAAGCGAACATGAGGTACCATCGTGTCTCTAAACGGTATCATATTCAGTGACTATTTATGCACAAACAAATAGTCTTTGTAAAAAGCCATTAGAACGAATATTCGATACCTTAGATCAGATTTTCAGACCTTAACTCTCAGATTTTATGTCACATTCAAATTTAATTTTTAGACAAACTATAACTCCTATTTATGAACCGTTCAAACTGAGATAAACCTCATCAAGATAGGAGGTATTCATGAAAAGAAACCTCAGAAAAAAACTCGAAATATAGGAGTAATTACCCCTAAAACAGAAACTCGAAATATGTTTTTCAGCAGACTTTCAGTCTAGACCATACCTTGTTCAAATCTAGTTTTTGGAGAATCTAAAACTACGATTAGAAATCTGTAAAAAATGCATTGAACTACACTGAATGAAGAAGAATTTTATAAAAAGAAATTCAGGAAAAGGGTATAAGACCTAAGAGAATCAGGCCTGTTAACAGAAGAAACCTATTCTGATTTTTCTGCATTTTCAGCAATGAACATGTCATGTTCCAATAAGATTTCCGGACAAACTAGGAGTCCGTTTCAGTATCCGTAAAACCACATTAAACTAGGTTAAACATAGAAGAGATTCATGTAAAGAAAAAATAGAAAAGAGTTCGAAAAATAGGAGAAAAAGAATCTGTTGAACAGGTAGACTCGAATCTGATTTTCTGCACTTTTTAAAATAACACCAGCAAACATACGTTGCTTGGACCAATATTTTGAAAGATCCATCAAGTCATTTGACAAACCATGAAAACCTAAAGAAGACTTAATGTTCCAAGGAGAGTTTGGTAAGAAAAATATGCACAAGAAGAACCATATAACTTGATAAGGGCCCTCAAAGTAGGCACTCAAATCTAAAAATTTCTCATCCCTTCCTATGTTTTACTTCGCACCTAATTTCCTAGCTTCAAAACATAAATGATTCATTCATAAATTCTCAAATACATACTTTAGCAACCAAGAACAAGATGCGACAAAAGAGGAAGATTCAGTCAAACCATCATTAGACAAAAGAGTATCCCAAGAGCTGATGCAAAATAGCTAACACGGTGGAAAACAATCATCATGGATGAAATATTTACCTGTCCCAGTTCTGGATCCTGGACAAGAGTACCATTGCAGCAGAACTCCTTCTTGAGGTCCTTGAGAATTTTGTTATAACTGAACTCCTTCAACCCCCGGACAGTTGTCAAGCTTTTCCTACCATTACGCTGCTGTATGCGAATATGCACATGCTCCTTTGTTCCAGCACCTGAGTTCTCAGCATTTGCATCAGCGAATGGATCTATCTGCATCACGCACACAAATAAGTTAATGACATGAGGTATCCATTTCAGTCAACCATTAGAAGTTCTCAACATATTGTCATATTTGTGAGCTACAACTGGAGGGCAAAAATATTCAAAACCCCACAAGTTCAAACCAATTTTGGTTCATGAATCTCAATAAAGGATGAAAGTAGAATATTTAAAATAAACTAAGTATTATAATGAACGTGTTGTACTATGAATAGAAGTCTTAGCAAAGGCAGCCCCCTATGCCAAACTTGATTATTAGGGCTTTCTTTCAGCGCAAGCAAGAGTTTCTTCCTATGAGTGCTTTCCAATGAGGCTTTGAATTTTCTTGCGGAACATGAGCAAGAGTTTCTTGATGATGATGACTTGTTGATTTGGCAGCATACTCCAAAAGGTGACCTAATGGTCAAATTCGCTTATGAGTCTCTTCGTAAAAGGAACGAAGAAGAAGGTTGGGCGAAGAATGTCTGGAATTCAATAACTCCTTTGAAAATTTCTATTTTCTTGTGGAGGTTGCGAAATAAGCTTCTTCCTTTTCCTGAGGTTTTAGGTCAAATGGGCATACATGTATTTCCGGCAATATGTTTGTTGTGTAAGAATGGAAGTGATGGAATTGGTTTGGTTGTCATTTTGCCAAGCAAATATGGCAGCATTTTTCAATAATCCTTAATATTGGGATTAATGGAGTGGTTTCTATAGCTTTCATGGCTAGTCGATGGTGGAATGGAGGGGATTTGAGGACTGCTTTGGGGAGCTACGAAAGATACTTCCTTCCCTGATTCTTTGGGAAATTTGAAAATGTAGAAACAAGGCGATTTTTGAAGGAATTCCTCCGAATGTCACAAGGGTAATTCATTCTATCAGGGAGCAGGTGCGGCGTTTGATGATGATACATGATTTGAAGCTTAGAAATAAAAAGGAGAAACTTTTCTTCTCAAACGAGTTTCATGTTGACTTAGGAAAGCATATGCGGACTAGGGTTTTTCAAGTTAAATGGCATCCTCCGCCCGCTAATTCTTTTATTCTTAATTCTGATGGTTCATCAAGTTTTGGTGAAGCGGCTTATTTGTATATGATGAGTGTGACTATCTAGGAGGAGGAGATAGTTTTATGGCTGAGATTTTTAGGGTTCTTTTTGGGTTGCGAAAATATGAACAGTTTCATCTTCTAAATATAGTTGTTCAGACTGATAATAAGGCTTTGGCCGAGGCCTCAATTGGAGGTATAGGTTTTCCATGAAAATATCTTTGGCACATGCAGGAGATGTTTTCAATATTGCAAAGGAATGGTTTCAGGATTTCATACATATATAGAGAGAGGCAAATTCAGTTGCTGCTATATTAGCGAAAATGGCATCTTCCGGGGATTCAGAAGTCTTCTTTTGTTTAGATTCATTGCCCAGATATATAAAAGGATTGATGGTTTTAGATCAATCTTCCTTCCCTTATTTTAGAAGTCTAACTGCTTGATGTAATGGTGGTAAGCATATAAACTGCCACTTTTTTGTGAAGGTTGAATAAATGAATTATGTGGTATTGTACTCTAGGGAGTAAGATGGGTACAATATTCATCATATAGAGGTATATCCTCTTCGTGTATTGCACTGTCATTTCCCTAGTGTTGCAATTCATGTTTTTTTTGCTTAAAAAAATGAAAAATCTAATTTGTTATAATCTATTTATCATTTAATCTGTGATTAATTTTTAGGTATTTATATGAATTTGATAGTATTTGACAAGATCTATCCAAAAAAAAAGAAAAAGAAACAAATCACTTATAAAAATATTTTTGGACTTGTACATGTCTTACTTACACATGTACACTCAGATATTACTTCCAAAAAAAAAAGATTTGTTATAAATTAATTTGTGCCATGCAACGCTTAAATTTGTAGTCAAAGCCGAACACACGGTGCTAAAGGCAACGAGAATGCCGATTGCATTGATGTCTCCTCACACATAGTTTACTTACATATGTACGCTCATTGATCAGATAATATAAGCATAATATTTAATGGATGTCAACTGAACGTTCTCATCACTTTGATTAACGTAAAATGTGACACGTTTTTAAATATATCTAAACTAAAAGATATAAAACTTTGAAAATTAGAGATTAAAAAATAAAAATACAAGAGGATCCAATTAGAAGGATAAAAAATGTAAAATACAGGAGGGGATCCACCAATCCTATTGGTGGAGGCGGAACCACATGACTCCCATTGTATACGGTAAGAATCATATATCCAATATTACAACAGTGGGAATCATTTTAAAGTTTAACATCTAACTAACCCTTATGGTTTAATATCTTTCCTGTCAACCCACAGGAAAAAGCATCATTAGGTACTTTACCAATAAGATGAACACCTTCTGCGAAAACCACACCCATTCCCATATGCAAATGTGGTTCAATGTGACAGTGGAATGCCCATACCCCTGGATTATTCGCCACGAACCGCAATGCAGTCCAACCATAAGGGAAAATAACAGCAGTGTTTCTCAATGGTGGGTTTTTCAAGTTGAACTTCTTCTCATCTTCCTTGGTGAATTTGCCGTCTCCATATGCCAACACCCAAAAATCGTGCCCGTGCAAATGCCACGGATGAATTTCGCTAACGTTGACTGCTAATGCATTCGCATTTTGTAGTATCACATCAACCGTGCTGTTGAAATCGAGCATGTATATTCCATTTCCATAGGTTGCATTAGTGTTGGGAGCTGGCATCATTACATTGTAATCAATGGGGTAGGTTTGGGGTGGCTTTTTATGGTCAAATGCTCCTTTTAGACCAAATTTGATTGAACCCAAGTAAGGAGTAGTTGGTAGGAGTAATGATACATTGTTTATCGACCATTTTATGTATCCATCAATGTGGTTTTGTGTGTTTAGGAGAATAATACGACGATCAAACGATGGTGGTGGTTTTGGGGAGCCAATTTGTGAAAGAATCTTGTTTGAAAATGTTTTGCTATGATTGTAATCATTCCAAATTGGAGCAACGGGTGGTGGTGAATTGGGAAGGTTAGAAGGTGAAGAGGGAGAGTAATTTAATATGGTTCGGGCTTCAGGGGTTTTTGGTAGTCTTCCTCTCACACTAAGTGAGATCCAATAGTTTTGGGAAGGATCTTGATCAGTTTTGAATAGAATTGAGTAGCTTTCACCTGAATAAATGTCCATTTCATCCACCACAAATGGTTGTACGTAGTTCCCATCAGCTTCCACAACTTTGATCTTGTGATTCTGCAAAAAGGGAAGTCAAATAATTGATATTTTCGGCGTGCGAAGAAAATAATCCTCATATTTCACTTTACCAGAGTGAATCACGGTGTTTCAAGTCTTTGATGTACTACAAATGAAACATCTGAATAATTCTAAAGTTGAAAGTATGGGTGGGATTGCAAGATTAAATAAACATATGAGAACTATAACGAAATGGTTATACTGATGGCATACACCAATACCAATTCTATAAACCTCTATAAGTCATAGAAATATGAAACATGATATGATGTGAATATATTAAGAGAAAAGATTTAAAGAACTTCTTTTAGTGCACGAGTTTTTGTTGTTATTGAAAACGGAGAAGTTGTAAATTGAAAATATTAGAAAAATGATTATGTAAACAAACAATGTTTAAAGAATTTAATTATATGATGAAAAAGTTGACAACATACACTAACACAAAAATTAGAAGCTCGTACCGAGTTTGGAGCGTAGGTCAAAAAACCAAAAAAAAAAAAAAAATTGCAAAGTTAGCTGTATTCCTATTTGTACGTTAAATAAAACAAAAATCATACAAAGATACAATAGAAATATCGATAAAGTAATGCTCACGTACCCCAATTGCGAAGTTGAGTGAAGCGAGCGCCGTGGTGCTCGCTAATCTCAGTCGATAAGTTTTATTTGGCTGCACATGAAGGGTCTGAGGAGCACATTGTTCATTGCCACTAAACTGACATGTTGGAACGTCTGATGATTTGTTGAATTTCGCAGCTAAGGAACAGTTGTATTGCCCTCTCCCATTGATTAGAAGTGTCTACAAAACATAAAACAAATTGGAAAAGTGAGATTATCTGTCAAATTTGCCACAAATAGAGATTTACGCCTAGTACATAAATAATTTGGTCATTTTTATCGACATTACGTTGAATTTAAATTCTTTTCTCTCGTTAACTAATATATGTACATTTTAAGTGACAATTTATCAATTACATAATCATGAAAAATACTCCTTCCAACCTGAAATCATTGTCCAGTTTAGATTTTCAACTTCGGTACAAATTAAACTAAAAATAAAAATTTAAACTGGACATAATTTCGGGTCAAAAGGAGTACAAGGTACTATATTGAGTTGGTTCCAATGATGCAGAAATAGTGAGCAATTTTACTTTATGTGAAAAAGACAATAAAAATATTTTTGATCATCTAAAATAATTGTCCAATTTAGATTTTTAGTATATAAGTTATACCCAAAATGAAAATCCAAACCATACAATCATATCAAGACAGAGGGAATTGCTTTTTTTTCTAGTACTCCATCCGGTTATTATTATAAGATATTTTAATTTGTTCTAAGTTTCACTTGGTATGTTTTTCCAATTGAAAAAAAAAATATTTCTTAATCATTAAGAGAACACAATGAATGTGAAAATATAATTTTAAAATTTTTTTCTTAATAAAAAAAATAATATATTATGTGAAATTTAGGATATATCAAAATTCTTTATAATAAGAATCGAAGGGAGTATCAATTAAGTTTAATATTGTGAACTATCAAAATGAAATGGGCAGAGCGAAAATAAAAATTCTCATTTTGGGTTTGTGGAGGATGCGATGATAGAACTAGGCACAAAACATATGGTCCATCGGGTCAGATTGGTTAAGGACAAATGTCCACTACGCCACTCTGAATGGTGTCAATAAAACATGTCCCCGTGATATAATTCCGCGTTCAAACAGACATCATAATTAGTTGAAAATTGATACGAATGTTTTGCTTTTCTTCAAAAAGGTTCATTTCAAACCGTTGTCATTTTCTTAGTGAATTGTCAAAATTACGGAATGGTATAAACAAGCGCTTTAGTTTTCATTTTGATCTCTTGTGTCTGAGTTTTAAAACACCAGTAAAAAAATATGTGAGAGACCTGAACGGCTAGTAAAAACGTTTATTATGAACACAAAAAGTACATTATTTTCGATGTATACGTAGGAGTGGCGGAAACAGGGACTATTAAGGGCGCCGGCCCTCCTCTCAATTTATAATTAAGACTTTAGTTTTTAAGTTTCATTTTTTTTTAAAAAAAAATATAATTTTACCCTATTATAATTTAGATTTAAGGAAAAATTCACCGGTAAATGATGTGTATGTAGGCTAGTGACCATCAATATTTCCATGAATAATTAAATTATTGGTATCAAGATATCGCGAATAAGCATGGGGTTTTCTCCTCAAGCTTATTATGCAGGTCGTGTTCCGTTAATTTGAACAAATTTTGGAACGTCTAGTCAAAACTGTTCATCTAAAGATATGAAACAAACAATGGGAGAAGACGCAAGCAAGCTTTGAGTCTATTACATTACACTATCTGAATTTCAATTTCACAATAAATAGTTATGTTTTCTACACTATTTTATCAGTTTTTTGAATAATTTTTCAAAGAATAATTTATGTCCGAAAATTATATTTATCAGTTCTCCAAGTAGCATTACTGAAGAAAATCTAATTCATATGCTTATTCCGTTCTACAATTAACTTAAGTTCTTGATTCCTTTTTGCTTATTCTTATTTATTTATGTTTTTGAACTTTTAACAAGTTGCAAGACATCAATATCACCATTACTTCCAAGACTCTAATTTTAAAGGACAAGTCTAGCTACAACCCATTCCATGAGTTTCCGTTTTTTTCCGTCGACTCGGTTACTTTATACTCCCTTTATCTCAAAATAATTGTCCAGTTTGAGATTTCACTTTTACTAAAATTTAAATTAAAAATGAAAACTCAAATTGGACAATAATTACGAGACAATCGGAGTATAATGAATTTTTCATCCTTTCAACCGACAAATCGATCCAAACGTAGCTAATCTTGACCCACCAAATGTAAAAATTAATTTCCCACAAGCTTGGGATTCATGTTTAAAAGAAAATAATTGATAAAGTACTAATTAATTGTTTAAAAGGAATACGATCTACACAATATAAAACTTAATCTCCCATGAGGCTTTCATGTTCGTGTTTTTAAAAGGAAAACAATTTAGAAAATTTCTTGCATCTATATATATAATAATAAAATACTATGTGGGATGTAAGTAAGTACTCTTTCCGACCCATAATTGTTGTCCAGTTTAGATTTTCATTTCTAGTTTAATTATACTAAAAGTAAAATATCAAACTGGACAATAATTTTGGGACAGATGTAGTATTTTTTTTTTTTTAAACTCACTTTCACTAATCAGAAATCAAACACGAGTACAAGGGTAGGTGAAGTAGAAATCTGACCAAACAATCAAAAGATTAAAAAAATTATTTTTTTGAAAAGGAAAGCGAGAATGCATTGTGCACATATATTGTTTTATACTTTTAATGTCTTTTCTACTCTTTTGTTTTCTTTTCTGAAGAAACCTAACCAAACATTCAAAAGGTATGAAAATAATTATTTTAGAAAAAGAAAGCTAGAATGTTGTATTTTCTTTATTGTCTTTTCTACTTTGAAAAAAAAAAAAAAAAAGATCACCTGGGGTTCACCAATCCAACGAAATGGTTTGGAAGACAAAGCAACCTCTTGTTCTTCAGAGGCTTTGTGCCACCAATCACTTAATAGTAGATTAAATTCACCGTCGTATTGGAATGGTTCTTTTTCACCTTTTGCAACATCAACGATTAGAGAACCATACAGCCCTGCTGATCTTTGCATTCCATAATGTCCATGGTAGAAGTATGTTCCAGCCTGTGGGATATCGTACGTGCCAAGTTACACAACGATTATGATTACCCAATTGCGGTTCGAATATTATATAGCACTTTTGACGATGTTATATTCATGCCAGATTATAATGCTAAAAATGATATTGTAAACAATCATAAGTGAAAAAAATGCAATACAAACAGTGTTAAAAGTACTTAATTTGTTGTGGTAACAACAAATGATTAATGTGATTAAACACTTGATGTTCATCAAAGGAAGGTTTGTTAATGAATGGAATTATGGAAAAATTTGGCCAAATAAATATGCTAGTCATAGTTAGCCTAACATAAATAAACATAAATTATTTTCCGGACCATTTTGAGAAGTTGGACTTGAGGAATTAATTTGGTGAATATGATTTGTACCCAAAAAAAAAAAATTTTGGTGAATATGATTACGTAATCTTTTTTTCTGTTTTTTTTTTCTAAATTTGAGATTTCAAACGTTTTGAACACGAAAAATTATAAGGGGCAACTAGGTTGGGCCCCAAACCTTAAAAAAAATTAAAAAAAAAACAATAGCAAATTATAACACTATAATTCTATCATGTTATATCATCATTTTCAATTTTTCGTTTTAGAAATGGTTCTGGTTGACAATATTTTGTTGATGGTGGCTTTTTTCTTTGCACGCGTAGGGGGGAGGAAAAGTATTGTATGTGGGTATGTTTCTTTAATACTCTATATCTGTCTCAAAAAAAAAAAATCAAAATTAATGGAGTTTCGACACAAGTATTTAGAATTAAAAAAAAAACAAATCTCGATGTATATTTATTTTTAGATAGAGGGACCAGTATATGAAAATATTTAATCGTTTTCTGTTTATAAAATAATTGTAGTTTATAGCCATACGATCCTTGCTAAGAACAAGTCCTTGTTATTTATATTTATTTATTTTGTTTAAAGAACCCACTTGGATGCTTAATTCAGAAATTCAACACTAAATTCGATGCTTTATGAGCACTTAATCATACAAATTGTATTAAGAATGAAAATTCAAATTAAATCATTATACAATGAAGAAAATATATACTTTCTCTGTCTTAAAATTATTGTCAGTTTAAACTTTTACTTTTAGTACAAATTAGACTAAAAATGAGAATTTAAACTCGACAATAAATTTGGAATAGGAAGAGTATATAATTTATTGAAAAAACGTCACTTTTATCGAATTCTTACCATGTAAACTTTGATTTGTAAATGAGCGATGTACTAAATCTCTTTCATAATGAATGAAAAATACAACTTTCAGCCATATAAAATTTCATACCTTGGGAACTTTGAAGCGGTAAATAAAAGTTTCTCCGGGATTAATAGCACATTGTGAGATTGATGCCGTACCATCCGCCCATGGTGTCCCAAACTGATCAATTTTTCAGATGAAAAAGGATGAGGAAGAAGAATTTAGAAGCATATGATAGTAGACAACGTTGCAAGGATTTAGTCGTTTATATTTATGAATTTAGTCTCAATCTTAAGATCCCTTATTTCATCAAGTAGTTCAAGTAGATACTTCAAAGTATTCATGAAACTATACATATTAATCAAATTTAAGAGTTACCATTATTAATGTCACTCTACAGAACCGTATGTGACATTTTTAGCTATATATGAAGATGCATTATTTGTAACATAAATTCAGAAGTAGAAGAGTTGAATGAATATCGGTTCATATCACAACATATATAAATGAGAATATATACTAAACTTTCATTTTTCCATAGTGTGTGGATTCTTCACTTTAGAAAAAGCGATGCTAAATTCCATTCGAAACAACGCCATAATGATTCCAAAAAGATAAAAGAAGTAAACGGAAATGTTATGATCACACACCTGTCTAATACCATGCCAGTGAATGACAACTCCCTCAGTTTCAAGCTGATTGGTAAGCTCAACAACAATGGTGTCTCCGGCACGGGCTCTGATCGTCGGACCCGGAAACTGGCCGTTGATTGTTATTACAACATTTTCAACACAGTCAGGTGACCAATACTGGTGCTGCACTGACCATTTAAAGAGCCTAGTTGTAGAACCTGAAGCTAAATGGAGTATAGCTGAACCAAACAAAAGGAAAATGAAAGCAGCATTTAAGCCTGCTTGATTGACTAAAACAACCATTGTAGGGTTGGGATTAGCGCAGGAACTGGCTACAAGAGAGAGAGAGAGAGAGAGAAAGGTAGGTGTTAGATACAATTTGTCATGTATACTGTTATGACTTTATATAGAGTGGATTGTAGCATATATATGCCATATGGGCTACTGCAACAAATCAGATTTTTTTTAGCTATGAGCTAGTCTATATGCGCTGTAATAATAATCTATTATTTACATTAGATTTTTGTCCCAAAATAATTATTTATTTATTATATCATTATAGTACTAAAAAAATATATATAATGCGGGAACTTTTTCTCCTACAAAAGTTGCCTGCAGATTAATTTTGAGGTACTTCTAGATTCTATATTATGGTTAATAGCGTGATCATGTGTAATTTATGATTAAGATGTATTGTTTCTTTTTTTAAAAACTGTGCACTTTGTCGAATTACTTTGTTCACTAAAATAACTTATTTTATTGTACATAAAGATAAGTGATTTTACATATGATCATAACCCGCAAAATTTTAGTAGGTATATATACTTAGTGGAAACAGGAGTGTGTGTGTGTGTGGGGGATGAATGAGACATTAAAATATCTTACTTATTTAGTGCCGATGATAGTATTTTGTTTCGCGTTGGCCGGAATCTATTTTTCTAATGGAAGACAACTGAATATGCTCGATAGACAAATGGTCATTTTCTTTGTTACGTTACGTTTTAATTCTTTACTCAATTTTTTGTGCATTGCTGCTGATTTCGTTGTTTAAATAACATGTTCAGCACGCACTCTATTCTTTATTAGTTGTGAATTATTCCAACATTCACTCTTTTAAGCAATTGGACCATATGATATTGCTCGCTTCAGAGTAATTAAACCTTGCTTCTTATTCCAATTTAGACCGGTGGATATGTGCTCCATTTTGGTCTTTGATTTTCGATATGCTTCTTTTCTTTTTTTTTTGTCTTTGGGGATTTATTCAAAGTGCCTCATTATCCTGTCGATAGGGCTGCCGATCCATCTTTATTGATGAGTATTTGGAAACAGCAAAAAAAATGAAAGAACAAAAAATTGCATGTGGGCACATTCAAGTGCCACTGCTGTAAGCCTTCAACTTCTTTAATATAATTAGTTCTGTTGTTTCAAAAAAAAAAAAAAAAAAAAAACTTGACCTTCTTCCGCTTGTTGAGCATTAGGGAAAGGATTTGGAGAGCAAAAAAGTTACACCCATTTCTCTCATGGCTTCATTGTGAAAACTACAAAGAAAATAAATAATTGAAACTTCTTCTGAAGAAAATTATCCTCAATTTAACTCACTGATGTTGTTTATTTTCCTTATAAATCTGTGGCGTGATCGAAATTATTATGACTGTCCTTCTAGATGTTGAGCTGGTTAAATTCGATGACTCATCTAAATTATACAGCTTCAACAACAGAGAAATTCTACTTAACCAGTTGAATAATTATTGCTTTATTGAATGGAAAACATTTGGTTATGTTGAAAGCTCATTTGGAGTTTATGTTATAAGATGGACTTCTCAGTTTCGGTCGAGTGATTTAGTGATTTGGTCAGATATAAAAGGAATATCAATTTGCTAGTTTGAAAGTAAAGAATATAGGAGCAAAAACATACTGATGTTGTAGCTGAGCAGCATTTTGGAAGATTGGATTTTATAAAGGTCCATTCGGGTTTACAATATGATCTTTAGTTTGGAAATCTTGCTTGTTCTAAAAACTTGGATGAATGGTGTCTGTTTGTATATAATTCACAGTGTTGAAGTAATTTGCTGTATACCAAATCATCAAAATTGCTATTTTGATGTTGTCTATCTCCAATCCATAAGTCTATTTTCTGCAGTAAAATTGTATCAGAAACCCAAAATTAAAAACAAAAAAAAACAGAACTGAGAAAAGTGAAAGAAAGGAATTGGTTGGACAAATGGATTGTTGCAACTACAGTAGAGAAACAAATCTTTTTTTTTAACTTTTTTTTAATCCAAGAGAAGCAAATCTGGAGTAAAGTGATACTCTAGCCCCAGCAACAGTTTACTTTTTTTTTTTTTTTGTTGTTGTTTTGCTATAACATTGGAGCAAAAACCATCAAATCTTTCACCCAATTGATATTTTGATGCAAAGTTGAAGTTGTTCTGAGAATGACAAGATATAAAAGAATAACTATAGGTGCAAAAGGGTACGTATAGGAATGCAGACATGCATTTGATCTGTGCGTATTATGCTGGAATATTACTATTTTGGTGCAAAAGGGTCTCTTTTGTGATAAGTTTGGTTTTGGTCTCAAGTGTGTGTTTGGATGGCAATGATAAAGTTGGATTGGGGGTAGTAATCTTCTCGAGTCCATATCCAGTGCATCCGGGTATACCATATATCCCCACCTAACACACGCGTTATACGCCCTTAACATTTTTTACCTTTACATTAAATTCTGTACTTGTATTTTTTTTTCTGGATAATCACTATAAAACATTCGAATAATGAGGTGTAACAAGTTGGATAACTAGTACAAAGATCCTGGAAAACAATTACAAACGGTTGGATATTGCTGAACATTGGCTGGATAACCAGTACAAAAGTCCTGGATAATCAGTTTACGTCTACTGGATAACCAGTTTACAACTTGTGGATAACCAGTACGACATGTTAATTGGGGGACTCCTGCGACTACCGGAATCGCAGGTCACCAACCTGCCCCAGCTGCGCCGCCCCGCCGAACACGCCAATGTAGCTAAGGTAATCCTTTTTTCGTGTGTGTGTAAGGAGAGTGTGTGTGTAAAGAGAGTGTGTTATTGCGTTAAGAGATGACACAAATTACTTGTATAAATCCCCCCGTGATAAACTAAACAACCCAGCTGCGGTGGTGCCCGCGGCTGTGCCGCCCCCATTCCGAACATAACAAATTTCACAAATAGTATTTAATTGAATGAGGGGAAGTTTGCCAAATGACGGAGAATAAAAAATGGATGAGGGGCAGCTGGATAACCAGTGTAAAAATACGGACAAAGATATCCAAGAAAAATATAAAAGGAAAAAAATGAAATTCGGCAATTGGTTATTCAGCTGTGTGTAACTGGTTATCCATAATGTGCAACTGGTTATCCAACAGGTTAATAATAGTTATCCAGCTGTGTGTAACTGGTTATCCATAGTGCCAACACTGGTTATCCACATGGTGAACACTGGTTATCCACACACGTTTAAAAAAAAGAAAAGAAAAAAAAGGATGAATTATCTAGCGAACTCACACTATTCTAAGAGAATAAATTACACGCGCATGAGGATATACGGTACCCCCGAGTATACCAGATAATTTACCATCTCCTTAATCTTCACCAATGTAGATACCAAACTCAGTTTTTAGAACTAGCAGGATTTGGTGAAATTCATTTGATATGAAAAGAGGTTGCGATGTGTTGATTAAAACTTTTTGAAAGCTTGGATTGAATTATTTAGTCCGAGTCTTCAGAGGTGGTTCCATTCTCAAAACTATTTTCCATTTTTCATTTTCCCTGCACCTTCCAGAATCAAAAATTCAAAACCACATTCCTCTTCTCTGTTTTCTCCAACCGCCCAAACAAACACGCGCGCGCGCACTGCTCTCCTTCTCCTGCATGTATCACCGAACTTAACCTCCATCATCATCTCTCATTAAGTCCGAAAATTTAAACAAAGGAAGTCGGAGAGAAAGCTGAAGCTTTCTAATCGGGAAAGAGGAAGGCCGAAGGAAAGATAGAAGAAAGGAAGAAGAAGACTTGTAGAAATTTAGGTAAGTTGGGATTTAATTGATATAGAATCCGCATTCAAAAGCTCTGACTCATTCCGTTTGAACTAAGTTGTGCATTAGCTATAGGAATCGTTAAAGTTTATATTGAAAATTGCCCGGGGGGTTTCGGCAGGTCGACGCCGCGGAATTGGGTTTGATGATTAGGCAGTTGTTTTATTGATTTGATCTTCTGATTTTATATTGGTTACTGTGGAAGTTGCTGCAGTTAGTTGTTTCTGGTTCTAGTAAAAACCAATGGGCAGGGGCTTGGGTCGAAGAGGTTTAGGAAGGAAAAAGAAACAGTGGAGCTTGTTTATAATTGGACTGGTTTAGATATAGAATTGTTGCTACTATCCTGATAGTTAGAGGTGGTGAAAGGTAGTGCGATTAGTAGAGAAAATGTGGGAAATGAGTTTTCACTGGTTTCTAGTAGATTAAATATTGTTCTTTTAGATTGAATTACAAATGGGGCTGTTTAACTTCTATCTGAAACAACGGAAATTCTTTCCTCTAAATTATATTAAACCAACTAAAGAAATGTAGTAACTGAATGCACATTTCGCGTACGGAAGTAGCAACTAGAAACAGTGGAGCTTTTGAAACTGTTTTTGGACAAACAAGGTGAGTATTCCCGATTCTGTTGCCCTGGATTGTATTATCATTACTTGTGATGTTACGTGCAATGTGCTACATGAATTGTAACTGATCAAACGCCCCTGTATGACATGTTCCTGTATATCATTGTATTTGGTTAAGTGCTCATGAACTTCTTCGAACAGATTGTGTTGGTGCAAATGACATCTGGTTGTGTTGGTGTGATGATGTTTGGCTGTGACTTGTTTTTGGGAGATTATATTGTAATCTCATGAAAGGAATTGGGGTCGTTGAACTCGTGTGAAATAAACTGAGTCTATAAGCCATGTGAAATGAATTGGGAGCTATCAAGCAGGTGTGAATACTGAATACTATTCTTCCTATTTGTGAAATGGCCTCGGTTGGTCATCTTTTAGTTCTGTTAATCATATATTCAATACCAGTGAATTGTCTGTGATGTGTTTGTGGACTGGTTATGATATTGCTTTCTGAATTGGGAACTCATTGCGCTTCAGCTCACCTCCCCTTTCCAAACATTTACAGCTTACTTGAAAGAACACCATAGGCTCGGAGTTCGTGACCGAGGAGAGGTTTGAAGGGAAGTGCTTGTAGTTTGTACAGTTTACTAGTGTTAAAGTCAATTTGGATTTTGGTTGTAAGATGTAGCTAAATTCAATGTGAGTTTCAAGTTTCAAATCCTTTGAACCGTAGCACTTTTGTAAATGTATATAGTAGTACTTTATATGTTGCTCTGCATCATAAGTTTTGCAAGAAAAAAAATGCAAAATACTGTTGAATACTTAGTTCATTTCCTTGAGTCTTGGCGTGAGCCAGGCAGGCGTCCAACTGAACCACAGTATTGGATACGTGGGTTGGTTGGGGCGTCATGGATTTCGCGACAGAGATATTTCGGTTTTTTTTTTTTTTTTTGCAGTTTGGTAGTGTAGATCTGAAATCATTCGTGCTCCCTGTGAATTAAATTCAGTATCAAGCATTCTCTTTATGCTTCAAGAAGATGAGGTGCTGGTTGTGTTCTTTTTTCTTTTTTCCTTTTTTTTATTTCTTTATTTTTTATAAATGCCTTATTTACTCGGTTATTATGCATCACTGTAAATCTGTAATGATGAAAACTTGTAAAGTTTCAAAATTTTATACTGATTTAGCAAGTTCCATTCATTCTTTTTTCTTCAATCAATCAATTTATCCCTCAGTTCATCACCCTCGTCTCTGTCTTGCCTATATCGGTTTTGGGTTTATTTTGCAAATGTGGAGTTCTGTTCATGTGTGACCAAAAAGTGTGATAGTGTGTGTTAACTGTAGATTGACTCTTTTGTTTTTACAGATTGCATCCTTCTTCTTCTATTTTTGTTTATCTTTTCTGTTTGCATCCACTCTTGGTCCTTCACCAATCAACCCATATATTTTTGACGAGGCACAGTAGATCTGAGTGAGTTAGGATGTGATAATTGGGATTATGGCATTCTTCAATTCGGGTTGTCGTGGATTTCTACTATTTGTTTTGATTTTTATCAAATTTGCATCTTTGATACGGCAGCATTTTTGTTTTGATATGTTTGAATTCAATCCAACCCTATTATTCCTTTATGATTCACCTCCTTCCTCATTACAGACTGTACGGGTCTGAACTTTTTCTTTTGTTCAACCCTAATTGCAGTTATATTTCACTGTTCCACCGTTGATTGGATTCAGATGGGAAATTTCAATAGTTTGCAGGCTCCAATAGAAAAATCTGAGAGTTTTTGGCATTCTTGTTTACGAGATGTCTCTCAGATTTTGTTTTCTTTTTTTTTTTTTTTTGCCATTAATTTTTTGGGTTGCTCTTTTGACTCTTGAGTGGAGGGATTGTAGTTTTGTGCGTTTGCTGATAGTAGTTTTTGAGGCTTCTTAATTTTCTTTTTAAACAAAATGTTCAACTTGGGACGTCCATTTAGTAATGTGATTGAATTATTGTCATTAATCGGGAAAATTGTATAACTTATAGTTGGGCTTGCTTAAAACTCAATATAACTCTCTGGTTCGGTCCAATGTTATTGATTTAAGGTTCAGCTAATGCAATTTTTCCATTAGATTCTTGTCCTTGCATAACTTAATGCATTTTTGCTCTACTGAAGGTTCTGCTAAAGGGAACTCGATCCTAATGGTTGATAATTTAAGGTGTTCACAGAGACTTGTTTAGTGGAAATCTTCTATTTCAGCTGTACAACAGGCTTTTTCAGGTTTGCAAGAAGTGTTTTGGCCCTTCAAAAGGTTGTTCCTCATTTTTTTTTTCAATCTAGAAAAAATACTTCATTAAGGTAGAAATCACAAATATTTAACATTACAGCATGTGATGTTTTACTTCTATATTACATATTAAATCTATAAGGAGTTTGTAAATATCTAAACTGCCGAAAGATTTTTGCCACTGGTATGGGGAAGAGTGGAAAAGGAGAGAATAATGGTTGTTTGTTTTTTTTTTTCCAGATGAATTGTTATTATTAGATGTCTTATGAGGGTACTTGTCGTAAGCTCTTCATTGAAGTTTTGGACTTGAGAGATTAGGAATTTATGATTGTATGTCTTGAATCTTTTTATTTTGCACTCACCCAAAATGAATCAACCTAGGAGTTTTGTTTAAAAGAATTTAATTTAACTTCATGTTTTAGATTGAACTATTACTAACATCTTGTGATTTAGACTGGGTAGTCCAGATTCAAAGTTCAGGCTTCTTTTTTTTTTTTTTTTTAAGAGAAAGGTGAGAGCTACGAAAACACAATACAGCCTTATGAAGAATATAATTAACGCCCCCGCCACCACCTGCAAACAGTATACTCAAATTTTGGGAGAGATGGCGCCATTGTTGTGGAGCTCTCAGCCATGGGTGGAAAAATAGTAAGGAGTCTCTCTTTCTTTTCCCCCTCCATAAAAGCAATTCTCTTTTTTTTTTTGCTCTTTTTTCCATCTTTTTTTTTTTGGTTTTTCGGTTCAATCTTTTTGTTTGCAGTCGGCCGAGGTAAGTGAAGGATGTCGCGCATCAAGACGAGGTCATCCGAGTCCTTACAAATACACTGGAGACGGCTAATGTAATTTCAATTGTTTTTCCTTATTATGTATTTTGATTGCAGTTTCTGTCTGTTCCTTCTTGCGGTGATTAGGGTTCTTTTTTGCTTACTTTCTTTTTTTCTGTTATTCAATTGTTTTTGAGTGCCCACATATGCTGTTTTATGGACCTCCTGGCACCGGAAAAACTACCACCGTTCTCGCCATTGCTTATTAGCTATTCGGGTAGTTATTAGATAATAATGGTCTAGTTAAATTTTGAATTGTTTGGCATTACCTTTGAATTACCTTCTTGTTATTGGTTATCAACTGTATTAGGTGTTAGAGATTACAGAAACGGCGTACTTCAGATTAGTTAAATGGGTTTGGTTTTGCTCCAAGGTTTTGCTAAAGGGTTATGAAATTTGAATTCGTTATATATTAATCTACATCCTTGTATATCCTTGGTTTTTTTTTTTTTTTTTTTGACTTTTGAATTCTCTTATGTTTGCTTCAATTCTTGATAATTGCTTAGGGAAGAGTATTTTTTGTAAACATTCACAGTTTTCTATATAATTAGATTAAAGTGACTGTCGAATAAAGCCAGTATGAAATTAAAGGGAAGAAATGTAGTTTAGTTGTAGGGGATGTGGTGGAAGGTGATATTAGATATGATGGACCTGGTGCTTGTTTTTGTTTAGAAATGTATTCTGATTTTTTTAAAAAATTTTTTTACCTTAGAAAAGAGAATTGAAACCTTATGATAATTTATCTTGCTTTGATGTTCCTCGGTTGAAAGTTACTGTTAATTCTGAAATTGCAGTCTGTGCATTTGCTTGCAATTTCAATCATTGTATCAAAGTGTCCTTGCATTGATGGTGCCCACTTCACTTGTCTGATTGGTGATACAGTCGTTCTTTTGGACGATTCAATGAACTTTATCATCCATCTTTTGTTTATTAACTCTACTCGTGCAATTAGAAATTATGCTGTAAATTTGGGCAATGTGGAAATGAAGGTGGATTATATCAAAGTCAAATGGATGTATTTAGTTTGTTCATAATTATCATGACATGTCATATTACCTCATTTACACTCGATACATGCATGATTTTTACCACGGCAAGCTTTCTTTGTCTTATGTTTTAGTTAAAATGGACTTTTTTTACCATTATGCTGATGTATATAGGTCTGCAGTAGTTGGTGAGGTGTATGATGGGTGCAACCATTAGTTTTATCTATATATTTGCTTTTTTGCTGGTAATTTGCGAGCCATTAAACCTGCTTTCTCGAAGAGCTTTTACGTATTCTGAGCCTTGTGACTGGTCATATTGAGTTCTCCTTGCACCTTTTTTGTATGATGCACCATCCGAATGCCGTCTGTAATTTTCTCTGCTGATGAGCCTTTGAGTAGATTAACTAGGTGTGTTGCAAATTGATTATGGTTATGGCAACCAATGACATAGTAAACGTGTAACTATTTTCTGCCTTCTTTTTGAGTTTTCTTTACTCTGCAAAAGGTTTCCCTACCGACTACATAAGTAAAACTTGATGTCATCGTTTATTTATTTTTTTAGAGCATGCAAATACTTTGGCTGATAAAGTAACATCAGTTTGAAATCTTTTACCGCAAAGGTATGTATCTTTAAAAAGTTGAAAAACTTTCTGGTTTTTCCAATAAAATTGGTGTTATACATCTGTATGACCTATGTTTACAGTTAAAACTGATTGACCTGTTGTCTGCATTTTGTAAACTTGACAACCTCCATTTGCAGACCTGAACTTTACAAGAAAAGAGTTCTGGAACTGAATGCTAGTGATGACCGTGGTAGAAATGTTGTTCGAACAAAGATAAAAGATTTTGCTGCTGTTGCTGTTGGTTCTGTTCACCAAGGGTAATCGTTTTTTCAAGCTTATTGTCCATTTCTTTCAGATTTCAAGTTTCTATATGTTATGTTATAATCCATTGGACTCGAATGTTTATTACATCACGTCCTCTAAATCTATTCTCTACTTCTGTAGTTATCCTTGTCCCCCTTAAAAGATTATAATCCTTGATGAGGCTGATTCAATGACTGAAGATGCTCAGGTAAGTATCTCTTCTGCTGTTGTTTGCTGATGGTTTCCTTGAATCTTATGTTGAAGAACTTCTCTTTTGCACAATGCCCTGCGACGTACTATGGAAACATACTCAAAAGTCACCAGATTTTTCTTCATTTGTAATTACATCAGCAGGTTAATTCCTTAAATGCTACTCTTCCGTCCTTTACTTCTTCTGCCAGCTATCTCTCTGCAACTGTTATCTGCTGCCTGCCCCAAATTCTTGTGGAAATGCATAACTCAGGACAAAATATATGGATGAAAGACTCTGGAATGGGATGGAAAGAAATGTTTATTCTTCTAATGAGGAGAATCAAAAGTTATTGTTGCTTGAAAACTTCAGAATTTTATTTTTCTGATGGCATGGGTTTATGAGTGAAAAAAATGTGTTGAACGTTCTGAGAGATGGAACCTGAAAAAATTTTGCTCCCTGGTCTCCACTGCATGTTTTAACTCCAGCTGTGTGTTACTCTTATGTTGCATTATTTTGTCCATAAAATCACCTGCGCATAACCACTTACTACGAAGATCTCTTTTAAGTGTTGATTATAGTGAGATCTCTGATCTGATAACTTAAAAGTAGAGATTCTATTTCTTGATTAGGATCATTGAGCCGCTTGCCTCTAGATATGCAAAGTTCAGATTCAAGCCACTAACTGAAGAAATAATGAGCAAGCGCATACTTCATAGATGCCAAGAGCAAGGCCTGAATTTGGATCCGGAGGTCCGATTTCTGTCATTGACCGCTCTTTTATGAACTTGTCTTCTTTATATGCTGACCTCATTTGTCCCCCCCCCCTCCAAACCAAAAAAAAAAAAAAGATTATTGCTGAATGACTAGGTTAGTCGCAGGATGCTTTTTATATTTTTACCTGTGAAGATGGTTAAATATTTTTGAATGATTTATTAAAATTCACTGCAGGCACTTTCATCATTAACTTCCATAGCACAAGGCGATCTTCGTAGGGCTATAACGTATTTACAAGTAAGTTTATCTCCTTTCATCTATACTATTATTTAGAGGTAGAATGTTAGTGTCCTTCACTTCTTAGGATAACTCAATTAGAAAAGGCAATTATGTGAATGGTGAATTATCTAATATTAAGGCTTTCATGGTATTGGGCAGTGTATTTTGGAATGTATTTTGAACAGAAATACTGGATTAGATTACAAAACCCTTAGTTTTTTATGAAAGGTTCTCATAATACTAGACAATTAAAGTCTGCCATTCTATGGTTTTGGAAATGCATAGTGATGCTACCATAGATAGTATCTGGACAATTTCTGGGTGAAATATGAGAAAGGACTGGTTGCTTCAGATGGGATTATTTACATAAATCGTGATTATACAAAATACATTGATTTTGTGATTGGCATGGTATTACTATAGTTGGTTTCTTTTTCTTTTGGGTTTTGGGTAACACCGAGCACAGATGTGTAGACGCACGCTCACTGCAATAATGTTTGGGTTCTTCAAATGCTGGCTTGGACAATGTTTAGGAAGCAGTTTACTTTGTTTTACAGTTCCGTTTTCAGCCAATTTTTGGACACTTTTGACTTTTCCATTGGAATTGTATAGTTCTGCTGCTTTTTCTGCTCCACCTAGATGTTTTTGTTCTTCAAAACCTTTCAGGCGTTTCATGCTTATGTTAGTGGAAAGGAATATATTTTGTAAGCTTTCTCAATAAATATTAAAGCTTTCCCACGTAAAAAGAAGGAGAAACTAAAATGCGGATGATTTATGTTGCGGGAGCTTCAGGTTTTGGAGTTATGAAAACTAGGTCATTAAGGTTTCAGCGAATCCTGTTACCTTTCTCTTAATTTTGAAACACATTTTAGAATTTTATTAACGGGAAAATAGAAGTTAAAATTGTTAAAAGATATCAGTTTTTTTTTTTTTTAAAAAAAAAGAATCGTTACATAAGCCCTGGTTGTATGCTAAAGGGCTTACTCAGGATTTTGGGTAATTTTTAATGCACTGAAAATAACTCAGTGAATTTTTTTTTTTTTTTGCATAAACAATTATGGAAAAAATTGATATGATGATTTTGTCAGATGGCGCGAGCTTAACATCTTTGAGATTGCCTTTCAGTTCTGCTCATCTACTTATTGCCTCCCGAAAAATATCTAATCTTTTGTCTCCAACTTACCACGAGCTGTTTAAATGCTTAAAATGTAAAGGTATTATTTTGCTTCACTCCAGAAATTTTCTACCAGTTGAAATGGATATTTGTGAAACTCCACGATTTTAGTTATGCATCTAACTCTACTTAAGCATACTGTTTGTATCATGATTGGTACGATTTTCTTTTCTTGGGACTAGAAAAAGAATTCTTTTGAGTGGATGATTACTGTCCATGCATCAATCTTACAGTTGGTCTTTTGTTTTGCTAAAGTTTATGTTTGTATACTTCTTATTGGGAAACTAATGCTACAACTGTCTTCTTCGTTTTTGGATTGTCATTATGGTGCTCGCATATTTGGATCTTACATTTCATCTCAAGAGCTGATTAGTGTTTCTGGGGTAAGTTAGTTACTTTTGGACAGTCTATTCTTGATTATCATTTTGTTTATGAAGTTTGAAAGGAACAATTTTAAGAACTGGAATCAATTTACTTTTGTAGCTTTTCCTTTTTTTGTTGAATGTCACTGGAAATTGATTGTGTTGCCAATTGGTTTTAGCTGTCGAAAGAAGGTTCCACCGTTATCGAGATTTCTGTGATGGTGGTTGAATCGCCAATTGGTTTATATATCGTTTTTCATAGTTAGTTTCACTTCTAACTTGTGCTGATAGATAATGAATGTTCTAGGGAGATCGCTTTAACAGTATTGCCCATAATATGTGTGCAGAAAGATGCTCAGGGAGCTTAGCATCCTCAGTTGCTCGAGGACTTTAGAATCATCCTCTTGCTATCGGGGAACCTGTCCATGACAGTTTTTATTAAACTAGCATTGTTTTTACACTAATTTGTAATAGGGATATGTTAGTGTCTTTTCATGTCGTTTGATTACTTGTTAAGATTTTCTTGGTGCCTGAGCAATGCGTATTTCTTATAAACAAACAGTTGGGTTACCTTGTACTGATCTTTTGTGCGTATTTTGGCCACTATTGATCCCAAAATCTGTGATAAATCTTTGGGGTTATTCCTGAGGAGGTTGTTTAGGCTCTCCATTCAGCTTGTAGGAGTGGTAATTTTGATTTGGCCGACAAGGGAGCTAAGAATGTAATTGCAGAAGGATATCCTGTTTCTCAGGTGTTATCACAGGTAATGTTGTATGTTAACATGGGGGAAATTGGGCCAAGTATTTTGTTTGAATCTAATCGAATTCTTCCTCCAGTTGTTCGATATAATTGTCCAGTCAGATGACATAACCGATGAACAGAAGTCAAGAATATGCAAAAAGCTGGCTGAGGCTGATAAGGTGCTGTTACATGTTTTTCTTGAATCCTTCTACAATTTACTGCAAAGTCGTGTCAGCAAATGGAATCAGTGTTTTTTAACATATTTTATGAATTATACTTTACCTGTGGCGTGTGATTTGAAGCCTCAATATTCAGTTCAGTTCACAAACCATAACGAAGAACCGTGACAAATTTTCCTCAAAACTATTGATAACTGCTAGCATTTGTATTTGCCTCAATTTGAAGTCATTCGAGTTTAAAGCACCCTAATCAGAATCTGTATCATGACTATCATGCTCCATTTTTTTTTTTTTTTTGGGAATTTGCAATCACCAGTTGGAGCTTCACTTGTAATTGCATTTATTGTTGGTCTTTTTTTCCAGTGTCTTGTTGATGGAGCAGATGAATATTTACAGCTGTTGGACGTCACCAGTAACACCATGCGAGCAATATGCAACCTTCCCGAACAATTTTCTTACGAGAGTTTGGTGTGCCTCTGCGTGAGAACGAAAGCGAGATCATTTAAGAGAATTGTGTTTTGAATTTCATAATTTGTTCTAAACAACAACAAAGTCGTTTGCAATTTAAAGAAATTTTATTGCTTTGGCTTTTGTGCTTTTTTTTTAAAATTTTTTATCTAGTGTATTTATTTTAAATATTTTGTTGTCAAAAATAAAAATAAGAATATAAAAAGCTTTTCATGCTATAAAACATATGGGATGGTTAGAAAATAAAATTAGCGGATACCGATAGACGTAGGATCTTTAACAGATCGGATTATTGTAGTAGACTTAGGATCTACCTTTTGGTTCCGTACACAATTACTTTATTGTCAGACTCTTTAACTTTTGAGGTTGATGAAGTTCGTTTTTCACTGACTTCGTAATTCTCAATCAATCTATTTTGTCATATTAGCGTTAACATGTTCAATATGTAGTATACGGGGCATAATTAGCGTTGTGCTAGTAAGAAATACGGAGGAAGATTAGTGATTTGAAGGATTTGTTCAAATTCTTCATTCATTTAGTTTTTGTATCCCAGATCCACTTTTTTTCCCACTCAACAGCAGCCCCTAGTTCTTTTGTTTTCTTTTTTCTTTTTTGGTGACGGATTGAAAGAGAACATCCGCTAATTTTCAGTTAGTTGTTTGTACTTGTGTTCAGTTGTAATTGGCCTCTTGCTGGAAAACATGGTGGCCCCTGCATGAATTTGGAATCAGGGAAAGAAGTTTTCAATTGTATTTCACTAAGTAAATGTTTAAACTGGCAATCTTTCCTTTCTTGAATAGTAATGTAATAGGTTAGAATGATTACATTTTATTGTCATACTTCTATATTTCTGGAACTTGTGTTAAGAGGTTGTTAAAATTAAGTAGTGCGATTTCATGTGACAGCAAATTGTGAACAAAATATGTAATCCTGTGGACCTGCCAATGAAAAAGATATTCTTGAGTTTCATTTAATGTAAAAAGATTGTTTTGAGTTAGTTTTGATGGCTAATTGCGGTTTAGGTGAGGGCCTAATGAAGTGTGTTCAAGGAAAGATGGAACATAAAATGTGAAGCTGATGGCAAATAAAAACACGATTGAAGACTTAGGAAAACAAAACATCATGTCTGTTTTTTGAGAAACCTTCATGTTATTGCAGGGGTATATCCCATTCGGCCGCCAGTGCCAGCTGTGGCTGGTTATGAAGGAGTTGGAGAAGTGCACTGTGTGGGTTCTGGAGTGAAGGGTCTTTCGGCGGGTGATTGGGTCATCCCTTTTCCTCCTCCTTCAGGTATGTTTCTCGGGGAAGCTTAGCTGAGCTTAATGGCTTCTGTCCTAGAAAGCTTTCTTTTGCATTTCTCATTATTGGCGCTGCACATGTATGCTGACTGACCAATCTTCTGAAATGACTACAAAATCTACTATGCTTATGCATGATTTTATAAATGTTACACTTTGGATCTCTTTTCAGGTCTACAACTTTTTTCCTTAGCATGCCACTCTAGAAACGAAAATTGTTTGTGGATGAATATATGCTACCATGAAGAAAGTATTGATGCTTGCGTTTAAATCATACAGGATAGCTTGCTATCATGTTAATATTCCCTGTTTTCAATTAAGTCACTCAACTAAGTCACTCAATTCATAAGGCTAATGACACATTTTCTGTTAAGTTTTGTGAAATTATCTTACTGATGTTTTACATTAGCGTGTATGCCTTTGTCTGTCTAATTCTATTCTCTTAAAGAATATTGTTTTATTCTTTTCTGGTTCTAAACTTTCTCTGCTTAAAGGAATGTGGCAGACGTATGTTTTGAAGGTGCAAAGTGTTTGGCACAAAATTGATAAAAGGACCCCCATAGAATAAACAGTTACTGTCAATCCTTTGTCCGCTCTTAGAATGCTTGAAGACTCTGTTGATTTAAAATCAGGTTCTACTAGAATTGCTTATTGTAGTATGGCTTGCTTTTCACTCTGTAGTCCCTAACAATGGGCTGTAATTTTAGGAGATTCAATTGTTCAAAATGGGGCCACTAGTATGGTTGGCCGATGCATCATCCAGCTTGCACATGATCGAGGCGTACATACAATTAACATCATAAGAGACAGGTTTCTGCCCTTGTCACTTGATAGTATACTTTTTGCCATTGGTCCTTCTCAAAAGTATTTGCCAATGAAAGGGAATGGTATTGGTTTCATCCTGTAGAGAAATGTTATTATCAAATACTGGCAGCAAGTTATATTTCTTTTTTTTTTTTTTTTGGAGCTTTAGGAACTTTGCTCACTGTTATGAACATATCTGTCAATTGAATTACAACTTGCAACTAGTGGTATATGCATTTTGAGGGCATTCATGTGTTCTACTTTCCATTGCTATGGGCAGGCCTGGATCTGATGAAGTAGAAGAGAAACTGAAGCAACTTGGTGCAGATGAAGTGTTTAGTGAGAAAGAACTGTTAAGTCAAAAGTGTTAAAGACCTCATGGTAATATATCTCAAAGATATTTAGTATGTCAGCATGGATTCTCTTCGCAACCCTTCCCCGTACTGCCCTGTGGTTTTATTATTATTATTCTTATTTACAATTAAAAGAACTCTACGTTGACAAAAACTGTCTTATAAAACTTGAACAAAAAGTGGCCTATTTCCTGAAAAACTTTGAAATATTGAAATTCTTGATTGTTGTAGGTCAATTTGCCTGAACCTAGTTTGGGATTCAATTGTGTTGGTGGAAATGCTGCTTCATTAGTTCTGAAGTTTTTGAGGTGTGAATGAATTTTATAAAAAGAAATTTATTTTTTGTTGTGTATTTATATTTTTTACTCTCAAAGTGATGTATGGCTTCCTGTTTTTGACAGAGACTAATTAAGGAAATTTTAGCTAAATAGGAAAAGGTTACAGAATAATTAAGTCCGTCATCATTAATTTTATACAAGTAAATTGGGATTAACGCTCTTAACACGCCTTTCACACGTTTTTAAATCAGGCTAACCTTACTTATAAAAATTATGGCCAGTCTTAATCAATCTTACATCTGGCAAAATTTCACTTAATTAGTAAATTACCCTACTTTCATCAGGATCATAACTATATATATCCAAGTAATAACATCATCTTATCCCAACCAGCAGGCTTATTAGCCTGTCATTATGAACAAACTAAAACAAAATAAAATAAATAAAAGCACTTACAAAGATATCCACAAAGGAGCTGAGTTCTTATTCTTGAATCTTCAAACTTAAAATATATTACAATGGGAGTGGGAGAAAAATAGAAAGAAAGCAAAGGAGTTCAACTGATTGGTGCCCTTCTATGGCATATGGCACCCTTATTTATAGCCTATTTTTCTAGTACTATTACGGACTCCAAAATTTGATTTTGAGATCTGAATAGTTGCAAACAGTACTATTACATCACACTTGAGTTTAAGTTGCTTTATTTAAAAAAAACTTTATCTTTTTCATTATTGTATTACATTATAATTTTTTACTTTACTTGAGGATGTCCTCTCTTGTCTATAGGATGATGTCCCCCTATGTCTCTTATCTCAATTTTTCAGCAAACTTGTTGACACGCTCATCTATCATATCATCTTCATTGTCTTCTTCTAGGTCTTGTGATTCTCCAGCTAAACAATCCTCATTTGATGTTGCTGTTGTCATTGACACATCTGACCTATCATCTGCCAGATTCCTTTTCAATTCTTGTTTCAATCTTCTACATAAGCTTTAATCATGTCTTCTTTGGAGATATAATTCTTTTGTAATTTCAACTTCATGGATATATGCTGGAAAGGATTAATTTTCCTTGATTCATTATGTTATTTTTCAGTATAATACTGTTCATTTTTCTGATGAATTTCATCCAGTACATCTTTTCCATAGAATTGTTTTGTCTCTGGATCAATTTTTAACATTTTATCCCATAATTTAGTATAATTAACTCTTCTGAGACACGGCATTCTTTTATCAGTATAACCAACTTCTGGAACCCATTTCCAAATCTAAGGAATTGAAAATTCCACGAAGAACATCATTGTATCTATTTCTTCATTACATCTATTAGATGTAATTAATTCTGAAATCTTAGGCGAAACCTTTACCCATTCCCCATATAATGGAGTAAATCTTTCAGGAAGTATTTTCCTTGATGGTCCATAAGTATACCACCATTAAGTAAACCAATTTGGCATAGGATTATTATAAACATTTCCACATACCTTTTTAAACCATGAGTGTTTTCAATTAGGATTCTCATATAAAAATACCTTATAAAAGGCATCAATATAGTCCCAATAATTATATTTAAAAGAAATTTTAGATTCTGAATGTATAAGTTCCTTTTCTTTTAATGTTGACAATCCCTATTCTTCAGCAGATATAATCCGCTTAATAATAATCTTGCTAAAGTTATATCTATTACTCAGTCTATTAGAGTAAAAATGTGTTATCTTACATGAATTTGAGGCTTTTAGTATATTCTCATAGTATGACCTTACTTTATATGAAGTAGCAGCATATGATGTTATATCCAAATATCTTGCAATTAAAATCTATGAGTCTTTTTCCCATTGCAAATCTTTTTCTTCTATAAAGAATATAATATCCTTGTTGCTATTACCATGATAAGAAGTAATATTATCTTCAACTATAATTGTTTCTGCATATGAAACAGTAGAGGATGATTGATAGCAATCCGTGACAAAACCAATCTTAATGAAAGAACAACTTTACTAAATCGGAAAGACAGAGATTTGTAGGCAGCGGAATTTGGAGAATTCGGATGTAATGACACAAAAACACAAGAACACAAACAAAAAAAAAAGATATTTGATCTCACGTGGATCAATTCACGAGTTCAATGGTAGAACAACCCAAATCAAGAATGAAGAGAGCTATTTCTAACCAAGCAGAGACCCCTTGAAAAATTATGTAGGAAAACCCGATAGATATGAGATCTATGAGCTTAAGTACCAAAATTCGAAAGATCCAATGCTAAAGACGCCACTATGAAGTGAACTAAACAAGATAGATAAGTCTAATAATTGTTACAAAACATATGCTACAACTAAACAAAGAAGTCCTCACAATAACTCCACGAAAGGAATGAAATCCTAACCAATTTTATTTCACTCTGGAAAATATCAATGATACCATGTGTTTTAGACAAGAGAAATTCGGTCCCTATTTATGAGGGGGTGGCCTAATTTTCTTTCCAAGAAGTAGAGGAAGAACACAACTCTTCATCTCTATTCCTATCTCTAAGACTTTGAAATAAAAAAAAACTCTAAAGACTCCTAGTTATCTTAAGTGATAAGATAACAAACCTAGACACTTTTACTAGTCTTAAGACATTTAAGACTATGTAGGAATTAATTAAAACTCAAAATACACAGAGATAATCTCATAAAAAAGATTCCTATTGATAGAATCTCCCTTGAGTTAAAACTCTATCATCATCTTCTTTGTAGAGTGATTTTAGCCATCCATCTTGATTCAGTCTTCATTCAACGGTTGAGTAGACATCAATAAGATGACTCCTTATTGTAGGAAAACTCGAAAAGCAATAAGATAAAAGGAATCATCCCAAAAATTATCCTTTAAAGAGATAAAGTATTATCTTTCAAAGAGATAAAATTTGAATGATCTCACCCCTAAACTTTAGGGATCCATTCGACCTCCATAGGGAGTGTGGCCGGCGGTCTCTCCTTGGATTGAGGGCCGAAATTCCTTCTCTCCAAATGGGCCAAGTCCATTTGGTGTCACTTGTAACAAATTAATAGTCTTGGGCTTGTAATTTTCAAGCTTAATTTCCTCCTTAGCCCATGTAGTAGTAATTCGACTATTAAGTGATTCATCCTCCTCTTGTATCTAGCACGAGTCATTGGTTCAACAATGTTTGAGAGTGGATCACGGATGTAAGGATTATTCTTTAAAGCAGTATCTTTAGATCCTCCATTAGCGTTCACGACCTCAACTTGCTCGTCTTCTCCATTATTGGCAGCAACATGTCCCTCTCCATTAGTGTTAGCTCGATGGTCTCCATCATCCTCCCCTTCTTTAAGCGAATTCGTCCTCGAATTCAAAGCTTCATCAAAATCAAAATGAGATAGGTCAGAAACATTGAATGTAGCACTAACACCATACTCACCTGGTAGCGCGAGTCTATAAGCATTGTCGTTGACTCTTGACACTACTTGAAAAGGTCCATCTCCGCGAGGATGTAACTTCGATTTCCTAGAGTTTGGAAATCTCTCTTTTCTCATATATACCCAAACCCAATCACCTGGTTCAAATGCAACTTGTTTACGACCACGATTCGCCGACTTTACATATTGTTGAGTCCTACGCTCAATATTGAGGCGAACTTTCTCATGAAGTCTCTTGATTGTCTCAGCTTTCTTAAGTCCATCCAAGCTAACTTGATCCTTCAAAGGTAAAGGTGATAAATCTAAAGGAGTTGATGGATTAAAACCATAGACAATTTCAAAAGGTGAAAACTGAGTAGACGAGTGAACAGTTTTATTATAAGCAAATTCAGCAATAGGTAAGCACTCTTCCCATTTCTTCAAATTACTCTTGATGATCGCTCTTAGGACAGGTCCTAAAGTACGATTCGTCACTTCAGTTTGACCATCAGTTTATGGATGACTAGTTGTGCTAAATAACAACTTAGTACCTAACTTTCTCCACAATGATTTCCAAAAGTAGCTAAGGAACTTAACGTCCCTATCACTAACAATTGTTCTTGGCACACCATGAAGTCTTACTATTTCTTTCAGAAACAAATCCGCAACGTGACGTGCATCATCTATTTTTCTGCAAGCAATAAAATGCGACAGTTTGGAAAATCTATCCACAACTACAAAGATAGAATCCATGCCTCTTTGAGTTCTAGGTAAACCCAATATAAAGTTCATAGATATGTCCATCCAAGGTTGTGTAAGAATAGGCAATGGCGTGTAAAGTCCATGAGTAAGCGATTTAGACTTCGCTTGTTTACACTCCACACATTGATTGATGATAGTCTGAACGTCAGACTTCATTTTGGGCCAAAAGAAATACTATTGGAGCACATCCAAAGTCTTAGGCACACCAAAATGTCCCATTAAACCTACATTATGCGCCTCGGGTATCAAAAGTTCTCGAAGTGAACACTTAGGCACACAAAGTCGATTTTCTCGAAATAGATATCCTTCATGTCTATAAAATTTTTCAAAAGCACTTTGCTCACAAGCATTAAAAATATTAGCAAAATCAATATCTTTATAATATAGGTCTCTAATAAACTCAAATCCCATCAATTTTGCATCTAAAGAAATTAACAAAGTGTAACGTCTAGATAAAGCATCGGCAACAACATTGCCTTGTAACTTTTTAGAATACACTAAGATATCATCAAAGTAAACAACAACAAACTTACCAATATAATGCTTCAAAACATGATTCATTAATCTCATGAAAGTACTAGGAGCATTAGTGAACCCAAAAGGCATCACTAACCACTCATACAAACCAAATTTTGTTTTGAAAGCAGTTTTCCATTCATCTCCTTGTCTAACTCTTATTTGATGGTATCCAGATTTTAAATCCACTTTAGATAAGATAGTAGCACCATAAAGATCTTCAAGCATATCATCTA